GAGACCCTTTTGGGGTAGGGGCGTGTTTGTTTTGGTGATTTCAAATGTCAACATTGGCTACCAGAAATCGTTTACCCCACCTTTAACTAATGATTTTGGGACTCACAAAAATGTATATTGAAAAAAAAATATACTACGGTTTATAAGTTTGGGGTTGGTAAGATTTTTAAATGTCTTTGAAAAGTCTCTTATGCTCACTAAGCCTGCATTTATTTGATCAAAAAATACAGCAAAATAGTAATATTGTGAAATGAAATTACAATTTAAAATAGCTGTTTTCTATTTGAATATATTTTAAAATGAAATTTATTCCTGGGATTTTCAGCATCATTACTCCAGTCTACAGTGTCACATGATCCTGCAAAAATCATTCTAATATGCTGATTTGTTGCTCGAGAAACATGCATTATTATTATTAATGTTGAAAACAGTGCTGCTTAATACTTTTTGGAAACCAATACATTTTTCAGAATTCTTTGATAAATAGAAAGTTCAAAAGAACAGCATTAATCGGAAATATGTTTTATGTAACAGTGCAAAAGACTTTACTGTCACATTTGGTGAAATAAATGCATTATGCTTAATAAACATATTAATTTTAATGTGTAAACAAAAGAAAAGTCTTACTGACCCCAAACTTTTGAACAGTATTGTATTAGCCAAAGTGTGTATCTTAGTGTAACAAATTTGAATTTGAATCGAAACAGGACACGTCAGCTTTCCAAAAGTATTCAGCCCCCCAAACATGAAGAAAGCCATTTAGAAGGAAGTCAAGGACGTTTGTAGGAGAATGTTTTGCTGATTATCAGGCAACCACATACAATGACTGCATGAATGAATCTACTGATAATGCTCAGCCTAATGGCCCTCTTAAGAAACTGTATGTCTGAGATTAAATACATATGGGTTTCTTCTGCGGCAGAGCAAAAAGGTCTCAGGAAATACCAACCTGGCTTTTTTCATGAGGAAAACTGACTGACATTCCACCCAGCTTTGAGAAAGAGGACTGTAAGACGTACGCCTGCAGTGCAACTCCATATGAGACTCTGTTCACCATATGTGTGAGGTAAAAATAAAGGGGTTTGACAGCTATCACTGAGTGTGAACTTGACGTCTATGTCTGCCTATATCGGTCTGTGCCGTTTAATATGAAGCATGAATCTCCCCGACCTGGAAGAAAATACTTTTTCGAAATCCAGCGTTTGCTATTGTTTGTATTTAAGAAAAAGCACCGGCCGGCACAAAGCTTTGTTTACACTTTTGCAGGATACTCCTACACGATTTGCCTGAGGGGGAAGGAAAATATTCAAAACTGGCAGGAAGGCGAAACATTTGTATGTAGTGGAGTCTTATGGTTTGAGGTTGTGTGCACAACACATTTTCTAAAGAAAGTAATGTATATGATGAACGTCCTGTCACTAAAATGTCCAGTTACTTCCATTAGAGTAAAATATCATTTGCAGCCTAGAACCATGAATCTGGCTCTTCAACCCTTCACCCTTCTCCTAAAGTAAACAAGTATTTACATGCACGAACCAGCAACACTTTGGTCAATATTCACTTAAATATAAAGGTTCTAAAAGGGAACTTTCACAGTGATGACATAGAATAATTATTTTGGGTTTAGGAGAACATTTTAATGATCTAAAGAACCTTTTGTGAAACAGAAAGGTTCCATGGATGTTCTTCATTGAACTATTGATGCCAATTAAAGATCCTTTATTTTTAAGAGTGTAAGTTAAGCCATTCTGAGCAGTAAGTGTTAAGTTTTCACAAACGGTGTCTAGTAGCTGACTAAATATTGGGTTAAAAGTTGCTAATGACTTATTCAAACTGTGTTTGCCGTCTGACTGGCTTTCCAACCCCCTTTCATGGGCCAGAATGAGCCCCCCTTCAGACACGAAGGTGGTATCTCCTCAGGGAGCTGCCCCATCTAATTATCAAATGACGACCAGCCTGTCGGCGGTAAGCCGCTGGGGTGAGACAATAGCAGCTGATTCTCTGGATTAGGTGACGGGGGTTGGAGAAGAACGGGAGGGGGGAATCCAGGAGGAAGAGACAGAGAGCATGCTCGGTCCTGAGAGACAGGCTACTGGAGCACACATGTACCTTCCCTGTGAAGGATACACAGTCTCATGAGCTTCTGCTCTTTTTCAAACACCCGCATGTTAAGATATTTAACAAGCAGATGTTGGTGATTTGATAAAGCGGATGTGAAGATTCACTTTTGGACCTTGTACAAAGGATGCACTAAGGAAACTCTGCTTTTGGGGTGAACTTTGACACCATGGCTGGATTTTACAGTTGCTTTGGGGATAAAAAGTAAGTTGGAGCATTTTGTTCATGTGAAAACTTAATTTAAAATGACTTCTAGTAGTTATAAAACACTTAACACTTGTCTTGTGCTTGAGGTTGCTTTTTAGTGGCATGGTTGCATATAAAACTGCAAGCACTGATGAAAATGACTGTTTTGGTATGTACTCTCAGAAAAGAAAGGTTCAAACGCTGTCACTGGGGTAGTGCTTTTTCAAAAGGTACAAATATGAACCTTTAAGGTATCAAAATGCACCTTTAGGGGTAAATAAGGTACAAATTTGTACCTTTTGAAAGGGTACCATCCCAGTGACAGCTCTTGTACCTTTTTTCTGAGAGTGTGAGTACATACTTCACTTGATGTATTTTGTACTGTAAGGTTTCTTTTGTGAATGCACTATATTAGCTTCTTAGATGAACTATTTCAATTCGAGTCTCTTTAAAAGCTCTTCTATCTAATGGTCTCATGACATGTCCAACAAGACCCTACTCATCACCACTGGTTGGTATTCCAAGACCGCTGAGAGAACATGTTGTTTACCATTGGGTTTCGTCCAGATTCTTTGCAAGTTTAGAAAAGAGACTGTTTTGTTTATCATTTATTTTCACTGAATTTGCCATTTATTATTGCTTGTTCTCCTAGTCCAGCCCCCCAGAGACGAAATGGATGTACAATAAGAGAGTTTGGACTATTATTGAAACATAATGTTCCTTATTCAGGTATAAATGCAAAATTTGACTTTGCAAAGAGACTGAAAGCGTGCTAAAGGTTTGTACTGTAACCAGCTTCATCCTTACATACCTCCATTTTTCACACCATTTATGGTCCTTGCGCTCCTGTGAGAGTGTGTTTGTATCTACACAGTGTATCTATTTGGCAAGAAACTTGAGCCATCCCATGAAAAAAGAGTCCAAATATTAATGGTCTGAACCCTATTGGTTTTGACCTCTGAGCTTGTTGATGTTGAGCTCAAACTCTTCCTAGTTTCTCATCATCTTGTGCAGTTGATGAGGTTGTTGTTTTTAGGAGGCTTCTCTGTTGTCTTTTAAGACATGTATTCTCAAGGGAGTCTCAAGTCAGTGAGAGACTGTTTTATTAAAGTGTGAGCCAGTTAAATTTGCATATTGTGGAGAGTGGGGTAAGAAGCGTCAGTGCGTCAACTTTATTTGAAACTCTTTTCTAATCCTGAAATATAATGTCGTGTTTTAGCTTTCCCTCTCATTTTAAGAAAAGGTGGCAAGTGTTACCCCACTCGCTTTTAATCTGTAAAAATGTTTCTGCTGGGGTTTACTTATGGATTCTCTAATAATGAATCATCCGGTATCAGATAGCCAGAATGCTCTGCTCTTTCTCTGCTGGTTCAGCCACGGCTAAAAGAGTTTTGTACTTTGTGGTTAAAGTTCAGAAGAACCACAGAAGTACAGATGGTTTTGTAGTATGTCTGGATTTATGCAGCCCCTGCTAACTACTTTTTTTTTTTTTTTAAATCCATCAATCAATACAAGCAGCAAAGGGCTTCCAAACACAGCTCATTGAGCGCATGCGGTGATATTGCCTTAAATATCTGCCTGAATGGAAAGAAACATTTTTTTTTTATAGTAAATTCAGGGCTTGATAAATGTTCTGTATCTGTAATTGTAGGGTTCTTTAAATACACAGCTGTGCAGTTTTATTCACAAAAAGCTCCCACCTTTTGTGTAAGATGTCAGTGTCATACTTAAAGGGATAGTTCACCCAAAATTGAAAATTATAATTACTCACCCTCATATCGTTCCAAACCTGTAAGACCGTTGTTAATCTTCGGAACACAAATCAAGATATTTTTGATCAAATCCGAGAGTTCTCTGATGCAACTGAAATGTTCCCAGACCTAAAAATGTAGTAAGGATATTTATAAAATAGTGACATCAGTGTTTCAACCGTAATTTTACGAAGCTATGAGAATACTTTTGTGTGCAAAGAAAACAAAATAACGACTTTATTCAACAATTCTTCTCCTCCAAATCATGTATTCCACCATTATCAAGAGTACCACAACTAGGGATGTAACGGTATGACAATTTCTTATCACGATTATAGTGACCAAAATTATCACGGTTATCAATATTATCACGGTATTGTTAACATGTGCTGGAGATGTTAAAAAAGTACCGACACATAAATCACTTCACCAAGTTTTATATTTAAAAATCAACAAACAACAAATAAAATGACTTTTTGTTTGCATAATCACTACAAAAATAACATTACCAATGATGTTTGGATTTTAAATGACAACTTGACTGACGACAGTTTAATAGCATGTTGAAATATCTAATGTAAATGTTCAAATAAAGCATTGAAAAAGTTTCATAAAAAGGTAAACCTCACATTTCAGCCTTTAAATAAAGAAAAGATATGTCAAAATGATAATTGATTAATAAATGATTATATGTATTTTATCTGCTCCATAAATAATTCTAGATACCTTATCTGAATTGTTTAAATGTGTAGAATCCACATAAGCTTGGTTTTCATCAACCGGTCAAAATTTACAGCAGGGCATGCAAATTCGGTCCGTTTTTGGCCAGACAGAAACTGCACACAGGCTGAATGTAAATATAGGTCTCTGTAAATCCACTCGCTGATGGAGAATTTTATCATGATTTATCGTCAAACCGGTAATCGTTACATCCCTAACCACAACGCGTGTTCTACGTCAGCAGCACCATGCGCATGCATTGTTTATGTGCAGAGGTACTCTCGATAATGGCGGAAAACGTGATTTGGAGGAGAAGAATTGTTAAATAAAGCCTTTTTTGTTTTCTTTGCACACAAAAAAGTATTCTCTCAGCTTCGTAAAATTACGGTTGAACCACTGATGTCACATGGAATGTTTTACCGATAGTCTTACTACGTTTCTTGGTTTGGGAACATTTCAGTTACATTGCTGTCTATGCAGGATCAGAAAGCTCACGGATTTCATCAAACACTTAATATGTGTTCCGAAGATGAACGAAGATCTTACGGGTTTGGAATGACATGAGGGAGAGTATTTAATGACAGAATTTTCATTTTTGGGTGAACTATCCCTTTAAAGTCTAAATAACTTCAGTGTGGTATATTATATATGTACAACTTCCTATTTTGCATGTGCAAGGTTCATTTCCTATTTATGAGGAACTGTATATAAATCAGGCCTAAAACCACAAATTTTGCTAGATGTTAGAATCTAACCAAAACAACATTGTTGATTAGTACTATTATGGTTTGGTGGCTGTTTAAAAGCTAAATTGCATGGTAAACTTTATGAACTTTCATAAAGTCACAGAAGATTGCTTTCATTTTGCTACTGCCTCATAACAAAACCAGCAAGTAATACAATTAGACACAATTTGTAAATGAGCCATATTATGTCCAATAAATATTTTAGGATGTTCTTTCTCTTCAGATATAAATTAGGGAATGAGATGGGGATGGTCACCACTTTAGCTAATGTTGTCAACTTTGAGCCGAATGGTGACTGCAGCTGGTTTAATAAACTCATTATATCGTAGTTTACACCAGGTCCCTGTAAAACTTCCAATGATTGAATATACTACCTTTCAAAAGTTCGGGGTCTGTTTGATTTAGTTGAAAGAAATTAATATTTTTATTCAGACAGGATGCATTCAATTTCTTGAGCAGCAAATCACATTAGAGTCAGTGATTTCTGAAGATCATGTGACACTGAAGACTGGAGTAATGATGCTGAAAATTCAGTTTTTGCATCACAGGAATAAATTACTTTTTAAAATATATTCAAATAGAAAACGGTTAGTTTAACTTGTAAAATGCTTCAAAATATTACTGTATTTATAACTAAATAAATGCAGCCTTGGCGAGCAGAAGAGACCTCCTGACCCCAAACAGTAGAATTAGTAAGAAAGGACAACATAATTAGACACTTGTTTACCACTTGATGTGCCCTTTTGGCGAGCTGCACTGGTTCACAGAGGACCACAGGGCCTGTGACATAATGAACAGATTCACTGCCTGATTCACATTTTTGTCAGATATGTAGTCCACTTCAACTAATGTCTGGAGAAAGCAGCGCTGTCCTTTCAGCCTCAGAGGAGAACATCATTTTGACATTTTCTGAGGTACTCGACAGATGGTGTGACTTGAGGGAGTCCATCACTACATTAAAGTCGTTGTTGATGTGTGGTTCACCATCGAGGCCTGTGGAGAAGCTTAGGTGTAAAGCAGCATTGCATAAGACGACTCTGATTGTCAGGATGTTGCATGACGAGGGTTGACACTCTAATAACTAATCATCATTTTGGTTGTAACTTGCATTTAATCTTAGCACAGCTGCACCAATAGATGCTTCATTTATGTTGAGTCATCATAAGATCTATATACTCTTTTACTCAATATGTACATACATTTTTGTTTGACAATATATATAGCCTAAATAATAACATTTAATCATATAGTTTAATAGAACAATGTAATAGCAAATACTATGCACACAAAATTAGGGCTATATCAGTTATGGTAAATGTTATTGGATTTTATTATAGTTTTTTTTTTAATTATCAGGTTGATATCATATATTTAATTGTGCATTTTCTGTGTGTTACCTTTGTTGTCGTCTAATTTAAAATAAATTTTTTAGAACATAAATAATTTCACTTAATGTAATATTTAGCAAGTCTCAAAATGAGCATTTTCCATATTGTACATTAAAAGGTTGTGATGCATAAATTCACTTGTAGATTTTTATTTTTATTATATTTATTCAAAATAGTGTGGAAATGGACTATCATTATAGGCTTATTAGATTTATAGACATTATAAACTATCATTATAGGCTAATATTGATGTATCCATCACAAAATTTCATAATTTTACAGTTATTTTATTTTTACGTTATATTTGCTAAATTCACAAAAAAAAGTGTAATGTATATACAGTATGTGTATATGTAATGTATATATGATAATGTGTGATTATTCGTCACCCTTACCTGTTGATATAAATCACACTGTGCATTCAAAGTATTTTGTTTAACTAAATCAAGCTTTGCATTTGCGTATGCGTATAAATGTATTACAGTCTCCTGTACAGCTTTTCGATTTTTGGTTGTTTTTCTAAAAACAACATTTTTGCTAACACAGCTAGCATGCTTCTGCTTCAACGCTTCACTAACTCTTGCTCTTTCGCTCTCTCTCTTATTCCTCCCTTCCTCTCCATGTCCAAAAGTTAAGACATGAAACGCCGGACGTCATCACAGAACTCTGGCGTTGGAGGCAGTCCAAGGTCAGTCCATTAGTCCCTGTAGAGCTCTGAACGACCTCTCTGCTATCATAGTCACGCACTGGGTAAATGATAAGAAGATGCTTTTTAGTCAGAAGAGGCTCTTGGGAACGAGGTCAGTGGTTTTAAGCAAGAGCTCACATAAAATGTAAATTCTGTCATCATTTACTCATCCTCATGTCATTCCAAACAAGTATGACTTTCTTTAATCCTTGTAAGGCAAAAGAAGATGCGTTGCATCCAGGCTGCGTTTGCTTTTCTGGTGATCCATGCTGTTGAGCTCCAAAAATGGAGTCATGAAAGTATTATAGAAGCAGTAAATGGTAAAAGCATACTGCAAGTTTTCAGAAGTAAAACTAGTGTAATATAAGCAGCAACTTGAAATGAAAGTCATTAAATCTACTTTCAAAATCACTTTCAAACCAAGCAGCTTTCTGTTGTGTAATGCAAGAATCTGACCGTATTGAACCTTTTGCGAAATCTGCTTAGGGAAATTATCATCATCGCTCTTGCATGATTTTCCTAATCTTGTGGATTCCTATTGAAATGACTGGATTTGCATGGGAAAATTCACCAAACAGCAGTAAATCTGACCCCACCTTATATGATGACAGAATGTTCAAAATGAGCATGCTTACAGTATTTAAAGCTGAAGTGTGTAGCACCACCAAACATAAATGCAAAATGATTGGCTGTGTCTGAAATCGAATGCTTCCCTACTGTACAGTATGCAAAAAACAGTAGGGATGTAATGATTCACTGAACTCACGGTGCGATATGATTCATGATACTGATTTCATGACACGATTTTCTCACTTTTTTTTTCTTTAACAAAATGAGATTTAAGAAAAATTATAAATGAAAAGATGTCCTTTTATATTGCTTGGACAAAATGCTGCACATTTTTTTGTGAAATTTAAAATAAAATAACAAAACTAAATTGAAATTTTGAAACAAACCCCAAATCAAATAATGAAATACAAATAACATTTCTTTAAAAATTAAAGAAAGCTCTGCATATAAACAAACTAAGACTTTGCCTGTGCTCTTTCCTTTTAAAATTAGAGGCCACCACTGTATTTTAATCACAATCTTAAAGGGGTCATATGATGCTGCTAAAAAGAACATTATTTTGTGTATTTGGTGTAATGAAATGTGTTTATGTGGTTTAAGGTTACAAAAACACATTATTTTCCGCATACTGTACATTATTGTTTCTCCTCTATGCCCCACCTTTCTGAAACTCGTCGATTTTTACAAAGCTCATCGGTCTGAAAAGCGAGGTGTGCTCTGATTAAGCCGATCCAGCGATCCACAGCGCGAAGTTGATGTATTTCCTCTGCGACCAGCGCGGATCAGCTCTAGGCATGACGAAGTGGATATCGTCCTCTTTTGGAAGGCCAAACAAAGTAGTTTCGCTTTCACAATGAAACACAGCGCCTTCATGACAACGTGACAACGTCACCACATCGTGACGTAGATATGTGGGGGCGTGTTAGAACGAGCCGTTTTAGGTAGGCGTGGTTGACTCTTAACTTTTATAAAGAATATCTCTTTGGATTTGAGACTTTAGTCTTTGCAACTTTACAGATCTTCTTTATGCACCAAGAGCTTGTAACAATCCAAAGAGAAAGGAAAAATTTAAATCGCATCATATGACCCCTTTAACGAAGATGCTGCAGTCATGTTATTTTGATTGATTAGAATTTCGAAATTTGAAGCATTTGAAACTATGCTACATAAAACATCTGAATGAAACAAAAACAGCAGACGGGCTGAATGAGACGCAAACTTACTCTCTGACAGCAGGTGGCGCTTATGGAACAGCAGAAATGCAGCGTTTCCTTGGTTACCACTGTAAACAAAGCAGTGCTGCTTATGAACACTACTTTAATATGCATTATACAGAGGCAAGATTAAAAGAAAATACCATCTAAACTTTTCTGAAGACAGTGTTCACCTCAAGAGATACATTCATATAAACATTTAACATCTCAACCGTTTTGAATCGTCACATATTTGTATCGATTTTCAGCCGGCTCGGGGTGCATTGTCACATCCATAAAAAACAGCATGCCAAAAAAGTTTTACCGTATGTCCAGATTCATAGTATTAGATAAACAGTAGGCGAAAACCTCATTCTTCAACTGGGATTATGAAGTGTGGATTCAATGGACACTTTATTATCCCATGAGGCCACAGGAAAGGATTTATGAATGGCAGTGAAGCGACGCAACTGATCCTGGTAGGTCTCGTAATAGAAAAAACATGGCGGACATAGTACATCCGAATTTCATTCATACTATATAGAACATACTTTTTTAATGGTCACAAAGTAAGTTTGAATTCAAACGCGATTTTGATGACAGTTTTTACAGCAGGTTTTAGTCAGACAAACAGATAGCCCCGCCCCAAACTCACGCTATTGGTTGAGTCAGTGTTGCTGCTGGTCGAGATGCTCAAACAAACAAAGCAATGTTTTGATTGCAAATGTGTTTACACTTTTCAGGGGAATCAGCCTACAGACGGCTTACACAGTTGACTCTGCACTGGAATAGAGAAAGTGTTTACAAATCAAAGAATTACACACTTCACTTTTAGTAGATGGACTTGCCTGTTCATTTAGTTGTAAAATATCGAAAGAGTGGCTAATCTCTCTTGATAATGCAGTATGTTTACTTCTTCAGAGAATAAAATAATCTTGGATTGTACTATTCATTGCAGACCCTTTTGTAAATATCAATTTACATAGAGTATAGTAATAATTCTCTACCAAAGTATGACTGTACCATGGTGCTGCCACAGTACTTTGTTGTAAGGGAAGTTGTTTTCTTTGTGACCTAAAACTGTCTGTGAAGGAGAGGTGTGGACACAAGACCAGCTGTGTGAACAATCCCAGGTGGTCCTTCATCTAGTGTTTGACACAGGCCACACAACGCTGACCTGAAAGCGTCAAAGAGTTTCTGGAATTTGAAAAAAAAAAGAAAAACCACAATAAATGCTATTGTACTTTCTCAAACAAAATTACAGTCCTTTGTGACAAAAAATAAGTGAAAGAACTGCCTGAAACAATAATCTAAACACCCAAATGGATCAAAGGAGACAGAGATATTGCACAACTGGTCATAATGGTGTCACATGACTTTCATAATCTCACCCGGACAAAATGACCCTATGTATGAGTGCATGTGTTTATTATTCCTTTGAATATCCTCATGATTAGTGCTTTATGGTGTGTTTATGCTTTAGCCATGACTGTTCTTTGTATCTGTGGTGTTTCTTGTCTCGTTCTTTCATATGCCAACATAAGCTATCTGTGAATCACTCGTCTGTGAATCTGTGAAGCAGACTTTATATGCGCTTCCCCTGAGATAGACAGAGGAAATGAATGAGCGCTATCTGATGACATCGAGTATGGGTCATCCATGTACTCTGATGTCACACCAGCCCCTCTAACCACTGGAACAAATCTGCACAATACGTTTAGCAGCAGTGTGTAAGAAACTGCAAGTCTGGTGTCTGTTAAGCAGTGGAGGACTTGCATGGAATGGTAAGGAGGATTGTTTCTCATTAGTTGACTGTTGTTATCTGGTCTCATGTGATGTTCAGCACGCAGTTAAGCTCAAACAAGAACGGTCTCAGTCTGTTGAATGGGCTTCTTGTATAAACTGCAAGGAAGGAAATGTGAGGAGTGCTTGCCTCTGCAGAACCAGATGTTGCTATGCGGATTGCTAAGGTGTTTTGACTAGTTTTAGTATGTCGCTCTGGGGTTTCTAGGGTGCTTTGGATGGTTTCTGGGAAACGTTCCTTATTGGCACAAGTTGAACGAGCCCGTCAGTCATGAGTCTATAATTTTATGGTCCCTAAATACAGTACCATTCAAAAGTTTGATGTTGGTAAGCTCTCCAAGGCTTAATAATTTTTTTTTTTAAATACAGTAAAAAATAATAATACCGTGAAATATTATTGGCATTTCAAATAACAATCTTATATTTGAATATATTTTAAATAGTAATTTATTCCTGTAATGCAAAGCTGAATTTCCAGCATCATTACTCCAGTCTTGAGTGTCACATGACCCTTCAGAAATCATTTAAATATACTGATTTGATGCTCAATACTTTTTTTGTAACAGAATTTGCTGTCACTTTTGATAAATTGAATGTGTTCTTGCCATATAAAAGTATTGCTGTCTTTAAAAACACACAATCTTTTGAACAATAGTGTATGTCTCGTGTTTTTACTTCGCTATATATGTTTTTATCATCCACTAGTCCATCTTATAATCATTTAGAATAATCACTTAGAAAAGTAACAGTACACCGCTCATCTCATGGCTATGGGTTTGGTCATTAAATAGAGGAAGAGTGGCCAAGAAAATATTGATTGTGCTTGAATTGTGAAATAGGCTGTTTTTGAATGTGAATATGAATGATATTTGGCTCAGCTGCTCTGTGTTAAGCTTTGTTAAGCAATGTTTGGCAAACATGCCAGATAGAAATCACTGATGACAAACTTGAGTTTGACTAATTTTGCTCTTCTGGATGTACTTTAGTACATTGTTCTCTTTGAATAGTTTGTCAAAACAGGCAGAAGGAGTATTATTTTTGATCGTCTCTTCCGAATAAACAAAAGTGTCAGTACAATGTTACTTTTAAAATAATGTTCGAAACATGCAAAAATGATTATTGGTCACACTTTATTTTAAGTGTGTCCTATTTTCACTATTAACTAACCTCAATAAACTCCTAATTACTGCTTATTACTAGTTGGTAAGGTAGTTGTTAAGTTTAGGCAAGGGGTAGTGTTAAGAAATCTAAAATAGGGTCATACAGAATAAGGAATTAATATGACAATCTGCTAGTAATATGCATGCTAAGCATATTAGCATGTTAATGCTAATAGTGAGAATTCTACCAGCGAAATTTAGGCAAAATTAATGTGACCACACCTTAACACAGATAATTAGTTAAGTTAATAGTTAGAATTGGTCCCTAAACTAAAGTGTTTCACAATGCTGATAGTCTCAAAATGTTTATTTGAAATAGCTGATAGCTCAGTCTGAGTTTGAATTTGGCTTGTAACTCGTCTCAAGCTGTCCCACTGTCTTTGTTTGGCAAAATTGTGAGGCTTAACAGGGAATATGAATCAGAATTATATTTAGCTGTGACGGTTACATTTAAAAGCTAAACACATTTCAAGGTCTGATATGAAGAGGATCACATCACAAAACAGAGGCACGAATAACTGGCACAAACACTGTGGAGTTTTGAATATATAAGTCGAAAATATTTGGCATTTTGCTCCATTGTTATGTTGTTGAAAGAATGTAGCAGAAACCCGACTGAGCCTGGTTAATGTTACTCTCACAGGAAGTGGATGGTGGGATGAGTAGATAGAGTACAGGAAGTGTTACAAATGAGTGTGGGAGTGATGACAGAATGCCAGATGTGTTGGCTACATGAGTGTATGGATGAATAGATGTATAAGTAATACTTATACAACCCATGTGCAATAACTTGTGTCTCAGGTAGCTTAGGACATTGCATGTCGATTTTAATTAAAGTGAAACTACACACGGCATGCATTATTAAAAACAAATCCCTTCTATGGAGAAAATTAAAACGACAGGCTTTAAAAATTACTTTACATAGGTCATTGGAATAGCTGCTTGCCATCAACGGAGAAGTGAACTGGTCAGACAATCAAACATCTTGCCCTTTTTAAATTGGAATTATCTTTGTCAAACTAGACTGCACATTGCCTTCACATCCTGTTTGGCCGTTACTCCGGCCTGGAGCTGCAGTTGTCTGTCATAGATACTGTTTGAGAGTTTCCTCCTTGAGAGCTGGAGTTGTTCCAGAGGAGAGTCTGATCCAGGATTAGGCTGTAGTCACTCATCAGGACAAATACTGAGGCCTCAGCTGGTCTGGAATCGGTTTTGGGCTGCTAGTATCAGCAAGTCTGCTACTTCAGATACGGTGGATCCACTGGAGTGACTCGGCTCCAGTGCTGTAATCTAAATGAGTCAGCATTGGCTTATCACCAACACCTGTGCGTCCTTGGGTGTTACAAACCCTCTGACAGGGGTGTGGGCACGCTCTCATGAAGGACAATATTGACAAACATACTGTAGAAGACAGACCTGTTCAGTCTTTGTTTTCATTAAAGATTCGTTATTTGAATTATTTCATTTATTTGAAGTTTTGTAATAATAGCTGAGAACATGCTTAGTGTATTGATGTGATGTCATGGTGAAAACATTGAATGTCAGTCAGAGGCGTCATGTGCACGTGCACCCTCAGATTTTTGAGCCAAGTAGATTTTATGTAGCTTCCAAAAGACAAAACTAACCGAATAATATATTTTATATTTGATACGATCACACCAGTGTGATTAGAACGTTCAGTGCGGCACAGCATCAGCTGCTAAATTCAAATCTGCATTTGCGATGCGAACTTCATGCTTTGGCTGGCACTGAGCCAGAGACAGACGCATTTTTACAGCGCTGAGCCACATTGTAACCAATCACACACTGTTCTGAGATTATGAATGCAATGGCCTATCAGAGAGGTTCAGATGAGTCATCGCTGAAATGCAGTGCTTCAGTGATTATAATAGGAATTTTGAGAGTTCTTGAACTCTGGCTATATTGAAGTCAGTAATGTTCTTTGATAATGTAAATGTTCTTTGCTCTCTTTCTGTACCATGACAGTGCTATAATTAGTAACTTACAGTTTTTAGTAAATTCGTGTTAAATACGACGGCAGATGTATTAATAATATTTTATGGCATGACACCCATATGTAAAAAGACGGGTTTTATGCGTTCTTTGATAGTGTAAATGTCCTTTGCTCTCTTTTTTGAATAAAAAAGGAAAAAGGAAATAAAACCAATAAGCCTACATCAGTTATACAGCGCTATCGTGGCTGCCGTGTGTCACATGACAAGCATGACGAGACCCCACACACACACACACACACACACACACACACACACTCGTGCCCCCTCAAAAATAAAATGTGCATGATGCCCCTGATATCAGTGGATCTGAAAGTTCCGGAAGTGGCCGAATAATTATTAAAATTATCATTTTTAAATGCCTTAAAAAAACACTAAAAATAAAGGTGTACAACATTAAATTGACATCATATTTTTGTTTATTAATTTTTATTACAACAGAAATAGCAGAGGTAAGAATACAAATAAAGAAAAGCTGAATAAATCAAAAGAGAAAATAAAGTAGATTAATAAATATTAGTTTTATAATCTTAAAAGTAAGTAAAGGTTACAGTTAGAACCAAAAGTGCTGTCAATAGAAGTCATGTTATATTATACGTTTTATATAATATAGCCAACTCTAATAAAGTGAGAAATGAACCCTTTTTGCTGAACACAAGGTACTTCAAAGAAAAGTGACACATGCTTTTATTAAAAAGCAATTGTTCACCCAAATGCTGTCATCATTACTCACTCTCATGACTTTCCACTCCCATAGAAGAAGAAATTTTACCAAATAAAATAATTTAACCAAAGCTGAAATATTTAAATATGGCATATCAAGACATTTAATTTCATTTAAAAAATGTATTGCAGCTCAACAAATTATCTGTGTTAAGGTGTGGTCACATTAATTTTGCCTAAATTTCGCTGGTAGAAAAAAGTCCATTGTCTGTTGTCAATAGCAATGTAGGCTATAAAGCTCTGCTCACACCGAAGTCGAAGTTTTGAACCAAGCAGCTTAGTAGGTTCCTATTAGAATTACTGGAGTTTGGTTGCGAAGTTTCACCGAGCAGTGGTAAACTGCACCTTTACGCAAAAGAAAGAAGGCCAAATTAGTTTGGAACAGCATGAAAATGAAAAAAATTAGCTCACAACTACAAATAATTGCTATTTAATCATTTAAAGATGTACCTCGGTTTTATAAATGTTTCTTAAATATGAGGGTTTTGTGATTTATTTTTTATTTTTTTCAGAATAATTGTTCAGGAATTGTTTAATCTGACAAACTCTTTTTCTCAACAGTGATTGTGACATCATGGCCTCAGGATCTCCAGACGTCACAGTCGCTACTGAACCATCAGAAGCAGCAGAAGAGTGTTCAGGTAACGTCCCATTCGGTATTTAGCATCCATGTGAACAACGAGAACATCCATCTCACTCTGTCATAAATTTTTCCTCACATAGAGCAGACCTGTTCAGTCTTTGTTTTCATTAAAGATTCGTTATTTGAATTATTTCATTTATTTGAAGTTTTGTAATAATAGCTGAGAACATGCTTAGTGTATTGATGTGATGTCATGGTGAAAACATTGAATGTCAGTCAGAGGCGTCATGTGCACGTGCACCCTCAGATTTTTGAGCCAAGTAGATTTTATGTAGCTTCCAAAAGACAAAACTAACCGAATAATATATTTTATATTTGATACGATCACACCAGTGTGATTAGAACGTTCAGTGCGGCACAGCATCAGCTGCTAAATTCAAATCTGCATTTGCGATGCGAACTTCATGCTTTGGCTGGCACTGAGCCAGAGACAGACGCATTTTTACAGCGCTGAGCCACATTGTAACCAATCACACACTGTTCTGAGATTATGAATGCAATGGCCTATCAGAGAGGTTCAGATGAGTCATCGCTGAAATGCAGTGCTTCAGTGATTATAATAGGAATTTTGAGAGTTCTTGAACTCTGGCTATATTGAAGTCAGTAATGTTCTTTGATAATGTAAATGTTCTTTGCTCTCTTTCTGTACCATGACAGTGCTATAATTAGTAACTTACAGTTTTTAGTAAATTCGTGTTAAATACGACGGCAGATGTATTAATAATATTTTATGGCATGACACCCATATGTAAAAAGACGGGTTTTATGCGTTCTTTGATAGTGTAAATGTCCTTTGCTCTCTTTTTTGAATAAAAAAGGAAAAAGGAAATAAAACCAATAAGCCTACATCAGTTATACAGCGCTATCGTGGCTGCCGTGTGTCACATGACAAGCATGACGAGACCCCACACACACACACACACACACACACACACACACACACTCGTGCCCCCTCAAAAATAAAATGTGCATGATGCCCCTGATATCAGTGGATCTGAAAGTTCCGGAAGTGGCCGAATAATTATTAAAATTATCATTTTTAAATGCCTTAAAAAAACACTAAAAATAAAGGTGTACAACATTAAATTGACATCATATTTTTGTTTATTAATTTTTATTACAACAGAAATAGCAGAGGTAAGAATACAAATAAAGAAAAGCTGAATAAATCAAAAGAGAAAATAAAGTAGATTAATAAATATTAGTTTTATAATCTTAAAAGTAAGTAAAGGTTACAGTTAGAACCAAAAGTGCTGTCAATAGAAGTCATGTTATATTATACGTTTTATATAATATAGCCAACTCTAATAAAGTGAGAAATGAACCCTTTTTGCTGAACACAAGGTACTTCAAAGAAAAGTGACACATGCTTTTATTAAAAAGCAATTGTTCACCCAAATGCTGTCATCATTACTCACTCTCATGACTTTCCACTCCCATAGAAGAAGAAATTTTACCAAATAAAATAATTTAACCAAAGCTGAAATATTTAAATATGGCATATCAAGACATTTAATTTCATTTAAAAAATGTATTGCAGCTCAACAAATTATCTGTGTTAAGGTGTGGTCACATTAATTTTGCCTAAATTTCGCTGGTAGAAAAAAGTCCATTGTCTGTTGTCAATAGCAATGTAGGCTATAAAGCTCTGCTCACACCGAAGTCGAAGTTTTGAACAAAGCAGCTTAGTAGGTTCCTATTAGAATTACTGGAGTTTGGTTGCGAAGTTTCACCGAGCAGTGGTAAACTGCACCTTTACGCAAAAGAAAGAAGGCCAAATTAGTTTGGAACAGCATGAAAATGAAAAAAATTAGCTCACAACTACAAATAATTGCTATTTAATCATTTAAAGATGTACCTCGGTTTTATAAATGTTTCTTAAATATGAGGGTTTTGTGATTTATTTTTTATTTTTTTCAGAATAATTGTTCAGGAATTGTTTAATCTGACAAACTCTTTTTCTCAACAGTGATTGTGACATCATGGCCTCAGGATCTCCAGACGTCACAGTCGCTACTGAACCATCAGAAGCAGCAGAAGAGTGTTCAGGTAACGTCCCATTCGGTATTTAGCATCCATGTGAACAACGAGAACATCCATCTCACTCTGTCATAAATTTTTCCTCACATAGAGATCAGACGTGAAGTATTAGGACACTCTGAACTCAATGAAGAGACACACGATGCTAGGTCTCACTGAAAGGAAGTCATGTAGCACACAGACAAAGCCAACATTTGTCTCTCCCATACGAGCATGCTTTCCGCTGTCCGACATTTGACCTTTCTCTCCAGTTTAGTGTGGGAAGAAGGAAGCCCAGACTGCTAGAGTCAGATCCTGTAGCGCAGACGGCGGGTCTGCGTGGTGATGTGGATTAGCCATTTCCTCACAAAATAGGGTGCTCACAGAGCCCCGATAATCTCCTCTATCGGATTGTGGGTCTATCTAAGTCCATTAAGTTCAAGAGTTATTCAGTGGCTAGGTTGTGTTTGGGAGGTGTTAATCTTGTACAGATTTACCACAGGATGATGATAATTGATCCATGACTGGGGTTACATTCATTAAATTCATGGCCGTTACCTTACACACGAGTCAAAGGGTCCAAGTATTGTTGGTATGAATGTAGCTATTTTTTTTTTTTTAGATGTAAGGATTTCTGAATCTGAATCTTCTACTTTTGAATCTGTCTAAAAATCAGTGTGATTCATTCAATGATTAATTCAATAACCCTTCCTGTAGCCTACATTATTACATACTTTAGAATTATTTTTTTATTGCTTATTCAAAAATATAGACTAGATTTTCAACCCTCTACATTATGAGTAAATCACTCGCATATGCGACTAAATCTTCACTCTGGGTGACTAAATGATGTCTGATATTAGCCAGTCGCTAATAAATTCTCAGATTTTACTCGCCAGTGTGTGAGTTGGAGGCTAAGTATAAGTTTAGCACAGACATATTTTCACTCGCCGACCACTGACTGAGCGCTTCAGAGTTTCTCTCTCCGTCAAGCGTTCTGCGCTATTTTTCAGTTCATCTCAATGGATGCGCAGCGCACCTGTAATTGGCGTACCGTAAACTTTAGTGTAATGGCGCACGACTCACCGTCGCTTTGGTGAGAGCAGAGAGAGCGAGAGAGTTTTACTTACATATGCAGAATTGACGCGCTACATGTAAACGATATTCTTTGTTATATTTTCCTGTCAAAATAACGGAGTTCCTTTGGATTTTTTCAGCTTTTAAGAACTACCGGGTTTTCTGGTCGTGGGCGGAACTAATGCGCAAACGACAATCGAACACACACAACCTGATTAATATTCATGAATCCAGCAGCTTGTTAATCCTTAGTGCGTTTTATACTGTTCTTATTAGTAGAATTCGTATTATTATTATTATTATTATTATCTTATCAGTATTATTGTTAGTTTTTTCCCTTTTTTTTTTGTACAGAAACACTGAATGACCAAAAAAGCACCACCACCAGTCCTAAATTCAGTTAAAATGTCTATGCATTCATACGTGGTTACCAAGTTTTAATTCTAATTACCAAAGTTCTATCATTAACTAATTCTTGATTATCATAATATCGTATTATAATGTAAGGCATTTGCGAACATCACACAAAGGAACGATGGAATCTCCGCATTCCATCAGAAAACTAACCTCCCTTCTCAACTATATGAGAGTCGTAAAAGCTGAATCATGGTCAGCCCAGGCGCCAACTTTCTCAAATGAGTTCCTGTCTCGCTCTGCTTATCTTTACAAAAAAAACAAGGAGAGAATGATTTACCAAACCACCTCCGATGTCGACAAGCACTAGGACAGCAAGAACTGACCCCCCCCATCTGGATTCATTTAAGCTACAGAATGTCAGTAGGTTTCGTGACTGGCTTCAGAATAAATAAACCATCTAATGGACCACAGAACAAAGAACCTGGTATCTGGAAAGATTCCCGCGACAGACACTCTTGGACCCCCTGACCGTTTAATGCATAAATTAATAATCCGATAAACAGAAAGCGACAGATTAATAGCCCATGTCCAGCGAGAAGAATGGCAGACTCCCAACTCGTGACATGGGCATGACCTCAGGACACCTCCCCTTTCCCCCCTGCATTCCAAAAAAAAGGGACGCAGCCTTTTACTACCTCCCAGAAAAGCATGCGTTTCTCCTGTCACAGACAAAGAAACGTACACGGACAATCATTGAAAATCATTGAAAGTATCGGGAGCATAGATTCACAAATAATATGTTGTATGTCTTATATATATATGCTTGATGTGTTTTCCCTTTTTTTTTTTGTACAGAAACACTGAATGACCAAAAAAGCACCACCACCAGTCCTAAATTCAGTTAAAATGTCTATGCATTCATACGTGGTTACCAAGTTTTAATTCTAATTACCAAAGTTCTATCATTAACTAATTCTTGATTATCATAATATCGTATTATAATGTAAGGCATTTGCGAACATCACACAAAGGAACGATGGAATCTCCGCATTCCATCAGAAAACTAACCTCCCTTCTCAACTATATGAGAGTCGTAAAAGCTGAATCATGGTCAGCCCAGGCGCCAACTTTCTCAAATGAGTTCCTGTCTCGCTCTGCTTATCTTTACAAAAAAAACAAGGAGAGAATGATTTACCAAACCACCTCCGATGTCGACAAGCACTAGGACAGCAAGAACTGACCCCCCCATCTGGATTCATTTAAGCTACAGAATGTCAGTAGGTTTCGTGACTGGCTTCAGAATAAATAAACCATCTAATGGACCACAGAACAAAGAACCTGGTATCTGGAAAGATTCCCGCGACAGACACTCTTGGACCCCCTGACCATTTAACGCATAAATTAATAATCCGATAAACAGAAAGCGACAGATTAATAGCCCATGTCCAGCGAGAAGAATGGCAGACTCCCAACTCGTGACATGGGCATGACCTCAGGACACCTCCCCTTTCCCCCCTGCATTCCAAAAAAAAGGGACGCAGCCTT